TATATGCTGTTGGAGGTGCTGTCCATCAGATGACGTTAATGTAAACTTGATTTGCCCTCTATTATGAAAGTTAAAATTCCACTATTTCAGAAACGAGTCGGTGAATTTCTCCGAGGATCTGTTGTGATATCTCATGGTCATATCTATAAGAAACATATCTATAAGTTCACCAATGTATCAAAGCATGTGATCTAAGGGTATAAAAGTCCGATACTGCACATTACCCTGGATCACTAGACTCATGGTACACCATTGGGAGCATGCAACTCTGTGTAATTAGTAATTAAAGGCTAGCCCAGACATTTAGTTGCCTGAGGAATGTTTCAGGCCTAGACCCTTCTAGGCCTGAAACGTCAGCCTTCCTGCTCCTCTGATGCTGCTTGGCCTGCTGTGTTCATCCAGCTGTACACCTTGTTATCTCTGCATCTAAATATACCTGTGTTTGCCTGGAAGAGGATGTGTTGGGGCAAAATTGTCCACTATCCCCAAGAATTACTTTTTTTAAAACCACTGTCCATTCTCCATTCTCTCAACACAAGAGTTATTCTCTGATAACCCACGGAATTGGGGAGCATTCTCTTGCATTTATTTTGGTCATTCCTCAAGGATACGTTTTGCATAATCAACCAAGTGAATTGTCTACGGTTTCGTTTATTGAGTTACGAGCAGGGTCATGCTTCATATTGTTCAAATAACATTTACCGGCTCTTCTCTGTTAGTTACTCATTTCACAATGTTAATTTTTATATTTTCTTGTACTCTTCAGCTGCCGGATGAAAATACACATGCAGTCACTTACTTGGATTTGGTTAGGACTGCCAATATCAGAAACATCACCATATTTGCGGTCCTTGTGTGGTGAGTAAAGAGAAAATTCTCAGTAAGCGTTTCCTTTAGACCCCTATCCTTAACTTCTCTGAGGACGTTTGTGAAAAACTGACAGGCATCCTTGCCACTAAGGTTGAAGCTCTCCATTTTAGCTCCATCTTCACCACCACCACCAACCACCCCACCCCGGCCCAGCTCTTGAACCCCTAGTAATAGCCTAAAGTTCACAGCATTTTTCGAGTTTGTTTTCTATGTTGCCCTCTCCCATCTAGTTGGCATGACTGTATGTCCTCCTCCTCCTCCTGCCCCAACCAGCTCACACACACACTCTAAACTGGTTATTGCTCAATTTCTATTCCTAGTCTTCAGGGCTGATAAGTAAGGGTCTCCCTATCTTTAGGTACTGTCATCTTAGCTTTCAAATCTGCCCTCAACAAAAAGTGAGAAAATCCTTTGATGTTCCTGTCCTTGCCCCATCACCATGTTATTTTCTCGAGTTTGGAGGCCTTCCAAACGCACACTGAAGTCTTCAATCTGTTTTAAACCTTGCTACAGCGTTGAAACAACTCTGACCAAAATGACAAACCATCTTAGTGATTTGGTTATGTGCTGGGCAGTTCTTCCACCAATCTGTAGAGAGTTGACCATACCATTTTCCTTCAACACGTCACGTCCATTGTCCTGCTGGGTAGGACTGCCTTTGACTATTTTCACCCTCAACAAAACCAGTCACATCTAGAGGATCTATATCAGTGGCTTTTAATTTTTCTGCCTAAAGCTGTACAAGATTCTACAACACACGATTCCTCACTGGGAGAGTGGAAGGAAATAAACTTTCTAATAATCACGGTGTTTCCTGAGCGTTCCTGTATTTTTCTCTTTGTTTCAGATTTCTACCACCTGCAATATTTTTCTTTCCAATAACACTTACTTTTCACATCTTTTTGTAGGATGATTTCCTCTGTGGGTTACTTTGGGTTATCCTTCGATACGCCCAATATGCACGGAGACCCCTATATCAACTGCTTTATCTCTGCGGCGACTGAAATAGCATCCTATGTGATAGCGTGGATATTGCTGCGTGTATCACCCCGTCGGATCTCCCTTGCTTGCATTGTGGTGTGTAGTGGAGTTATGCTGCTGTTGATCCAGGTTGTACCTTCACGTAAGAGTTCAAACCAGTTAAGTTGGGGACCCTCCGTTTTCTTGAATCATGTTGTATTTAACATCCCAGTTTCATTCTGTGGCGTTCCTCCAGAGCTGTTCTGGCTAACAAACCCCAATCAGGTCTTGCGTAGGTGATGTTGTGGAGTTGCCCACAGTGGCTACACTGTAAGGCTTGTGTGATGGGCAGGAAGGTCCACACTGCTCACGTTGATCATGTGGTTGAAAACAAGCTCATTTAAAAAATTGATTTAAACTACTTGGAAACTTTTGCGTATATTACTAACCTGTTTGTGCTTGGGTTTCACAGGTCACTATGGGGTTACCATGGTAATGGCAATGGTTGGTAAATTCGGATATGCAGCAGCATTCTCTATGATCTATGTTTTCTCAACTGAACTGTACCCAACTGTAGTGAGGAATATGGGTGTTGCAGCTTGTTCCATGGCAGCCATGATTTCCACCGTAATATCCCCGTATTTTGCTTATCTGGGTAAGAGGTAAAAGCTTCCGGCAATTATATATTTTAATTGTTTAAAAAATTGATACCAGTGAGGTGAGTGAAGTGGGTATCTCAATTTAAGAACTTAAACTGTTGATAAAAAAACAAACCAAAGAACTGCAGGTACTGGAAATCCGACACAATACCGGAAAGTGCCGGAGAAACTCAGCAGGTCTGGGAAAGAGAGAAACAGAGTTCACGTTTTCGGCTTAGCCCACTACTCCTTGCTTTAAATATCTGCTTAATTTTCCTTTGGGGCAAATGGAATCATCTCTACAGCAAACATCCAATTTGGAGCATTTAGGAAGAACACAAATCTGAGAAAGCAGTGGTAAATATATTTCGTGCTTCTGAGGAAGGGAAGAACTGCTGATAATTTAAAACTGGTGACTTGAATGGATCTTGAAGCACTGTCTTTCTGTTTGAGATGAGAATATTACCATCCCATTGTAAAGGGTAAGGGGGAGAAGGCTGCAGGTTTACACTATCCTGATAATGGTTGTTAATATATAGAACCACTTAAGGGTTCTGATGCACATTCCCTTTTATTATCAGAACAGAGAGCCACGGTAGCATGTTTGCAGTCTTTCCTAACACATCCTTATTAATTTTATTTTTAAATAAAACTGAAAAGTATTTTGTTTATCCCTCTGCTTTTTTAAATAAAAAATGTCAATGGGATAGATGCATGTCTCTGGCTAGGCCAGCATTTATTGCTCACCCAAAGATTAACCACGTTGCTGTGGGTTGGGATTCAGATGAGGCTGGACAAGGTAAGGATTGGAGATTTCCTTCTGTAAGTAACATTAATAAGCTATACTTTTTTTTAATGACAATAGTTGCCTTTAGACAAGTTCTTTGAATTCAGTAAGAGACTGAAATAAATATGTCATGTTAGGATTTGAACCCATCTTCCCAGTGCATTAACCTGGAGTTTTGGGTTACTAGTCCAGTGACATTATCACAATAACCACCACCGATCCTTAACAGCAAATAGCAGTTAGTTGTTCTGTATCACCTTGAAGTGATAACATGACCTACAGGATTGTTTGCAAGAAAATCTGACTGAGCCATGTAAGGAGATATGGGGTAACTAAAAGTTCAGTGAGAAAGATGGCTTTGAAAGGAGGAGTGAGACATTTAGGGGAAGGAATTCCAGAATTAGAGTGAGATATGCAATTGGCCAGAATTGGAAAAGTACAGGGATCACTGAGGGTGTAAAGCAGAAGGAAGTTATTACGAGAGTCTGTTCAGGAATTTGGAAGTAAGGATTTTGCATTTCTAAATTGAAGCTTTTTTTAGTTTGTTCCAAAGCGATAACTTTGGCATAATGTTATAGTATAATGGTGTAAGATTCTACTTTTCCTACCAAAGGTATTGGGCAAAGCAGGAATGATGCATTTGTGCAGTACAATGTATGCCAATGTGTGGTTGTATCTGAGGCATTAGGTTTTTGTTGTTTGCTTCCTCTTCATTTTAGCCTTATTAGTTTCACATTCCTAGCAGCATACGTTCATAGAGTAAACTCATCTGAGGAACCTCCAATGGCTGTAATATTATTTCTTTGTTTCTCAGGGATGCATGATAAAATATTGCCATTCATCTTAATGGGAAGCCTATCGATAACGGCTGGAATTTTCTGCTTGGTGCTGCCTGAAACATATGGCCAACCTCTTCCACAGACTATTGATCAAGTGCAACCAATTCTCTGGTATGTCTGCAGTACGGTAGGCACTTGCATGTCCTAGTGTGTCCTTTCTTCTTTCTTTATCTCATTTTTCTTCATCACACTCTTCTTGTATAACCTTCCAATACCTTTTCTTCCCCTTGTGCCAACTCTTGGAGGTCAGAAGTCACAAGACACCAAGTTATAGTCCAACAGGTTTATTTGAAATCACAAGGAGTGCGGCCCTTTCGTCAGGCGACATGTGATTTTTGACCTTGTCTATCCCATTCCAACAGCGGCACCTCCCCGTCATAACTCTTGGAGAGGTACTGGATAAACTTGGCTGGGGGAAGATTTGTGTGATCTCTGGAACCCTTTAAAAGTTGCAATTCAGACTCCTGGAAAAGGTTGCTCAAGAACATTTTTAAAAGGTACGACGATCTTTTGCTGGCGGATTATGATTTTTATATTTCTGTCCAAAAAAATGAGAAAAGCAACTATCCCAGTAACTGTCCACGGGCCTGTCAATCTAACGTCTGTGATGAGGAAACTTTGAAACATTAATCTGGGACAAAATTAATCGGCACTCAGAAAAAATATGGGTTAATAATTAAAAAGCAGCACAGAGTGACTACCGCCTAGTGGCTTTGACCTCCCATAATCATGAAGTGCTTTGAGAGGCTGGTCATGGCCCACATAAACTCCAGTCTCCCAGCCCACCTCAATCTCCTGCAGTTTGCTTACCAACATAACAGAGGATGCCATATCCCTAGCCCTGCACTCATCCCTGGAACATCTGGACAACAAGTACACCTACGTCAGACTCCTGCTCATTGACTACCGCTCCGCTTTCGACACGATTATCCCCTCCAGACTGATCTCAATACTCTGAGACCTAAGTCTTGGCTCTACCCTCTGCCACTGGGTCCTTCGCTTCCTGAAACAAGGACCACAATCAGTGATGATAAACAACTGCACCTCCTCCACAATAACATTCAACTCTGGAGGCCGTCAGTTCTCAGCCCTCTACTGTGATCCCTGTACACCCACAACTGTGTTGCCAAATGCTGAACGAACGCCATCTATAGGTTCACTGACCACACCACCATGGTAGGACAGATATCAAACAATAATGAGTCAGAATATAGAAAGGAGATAGAGGTCTTGGTGACGTGGTGCAATGACAACAGTCCCTCTCTTAATGTCAGGAAAACTAAAGAACTGATCATAGACTTCAGAAAGAAAGGAGGAGAACGCGCCCCCATCACATCTTTGGAGTGGAGGTTGAGAGCGTCAAGTTCCTCGGTGTGACGACAATCGACAATCTGTCCTGGACTTGCCACTTGGATGAAATGGCCAAGAAGGCACAACAATGCCTCCTCTTCCTCATGCAACTCAGAAAATTTGCAATGTCCATAAGGACCTTCACTGACTTTTACAGATACTCCATTGAAAGCGTACTGTCTGGGTGCACAACGGCCTGGTATGGCAACTGCTCTGCCCAGGACTGTAAGAAACTGCAAAAGGCTGTATGCACAGCCCAGACCATCACGGAAGCCAACCTTCCATCCATGGATAATGAGGTGTAGAGCTGGATGAACACAGCAGCATCAGAGGAGCAGGAAAGTTGACGTTTCGGGTCTAGACCTTTCTTCAGAAATGGGGGAGGGGAAGGGGATTCTGAAATAAATAGGGAGAGAGAGGGAGGCGGATAGAAGATGGATAGAGGAAAAGATAGGTGGAGAGGAGACAGACAGGTCAAAGAGGCGGGGTTGGAGCCAGTAAAGGTGAGTGTAGGTGGGGAGGTAGGGAGGAGATAGGTCAGTCCAGGGAGGACGGACAGGTCAAGGAGGCGGGATGAGGCTAGTAGGTAGGAGATGGGGGTGGGACTTGAGGTGGGAGGATTGGATAGGTGGGCGGCAGGACAGGTTAGAGAGGCGGGGACAATCTGGGCTGGTTTTGGGATGCGCTAGGGAGAGGGGAGATTTTGAAGCTTTTGGGAAAGAGGGTTTCCTTTTCATGGGGCACTGGCATCAGTTCTGGGACAGGAGGGATCTATACCGCTGGGATGGACTCCACTTGAACAGGGCCGGGTCCAGTGTTCTGGCGAAAAGGGTAAATAGGGTGGTTAATGGGACTTTAAACTAGTAAGTAGGGGTCAGGGAGAAGTGAGTGTAGAGGGAGAATAACAATTAACGTAAGGCAAAGCAGCAGGTTAGCAGGTGACGAGGAAGCTTCAACTCCATTGAAAATTAAGAAAAAAGTTAAAGGGAAGGAGAACTCAAGAGCTGTTAGTAATGGAGGTAATAGGACCCAAAAAGAAGGTGCAAAAACTGGCATAAGGGCACTTTATCTGTATGCTCGGAGCATTCGAAACAAGGTGGATGAGTTGACGGCGCAAATCATGGCAAATAGGTATGATTTAGTGGCCATTACAGAGACATGGTTACAGGATGGTCATGACTGGGAGTTAAATATCCAGGGGTATCAAACTATTCGGAAGGACAGACAGGAAGGTAAGGGAGGTGGCATCGCTCTGATTTTTAAGGATGATATCAGGACAGTAGTGAGAGATGATATAGGTTCTACTGAACAAAAGGTTGAATCCATTTGGGTGGAAATTAGGAATAGCAGGGAGAAGAAGTCACTGATAGGTGTGGTCTATAGGCCACCAAATAATGACATTGTGGTGGGGCAGGCAATAAACATAGAAATAGCTAATGCATGTAAAAATGGTACAGCAATTGTCATGGGGGATTTTAATCTACATTTCGATTGGTCAAACCAGGTCGGTCATGGCAGCCTTGAGGAGGGGTTCATAGAATGCATCCGTGATAATTTCCTTGAACAATATGTAATGGAACCTACGAGGGATCAAGCTATCCTAGATCTAGTCCTGTGTAATGAGACAGGAATAATTAATGATCTCACAGTTAGGGATCCTCTCAGAAGGAGCGATCACAGTATGGTCGAATTTAAAATACAGATGGAGCGTGAGAAGGTTAAATCCAGCACCAATGTCCTGTGCTTAAACAAAGGAGACTATGAAGGAATGAGGGAGGAGTTAGCTAAGGTAGAATGGGAGCAAAAGCTTTATGGTGGGTCAATTGAAGAACAGTGGAGGACTTTCAAAACGATTTTTCACAGTGCTCAGCAGAAGTATATTCCAGTGATAAGGAAGAACTGTAGGAAAAGAGAGAGCCAGCCATGGATGTCTAAGGAAATAAAGGAAAGTATCAGATTGAAAAAAAAAACACATACAAAAAAGCAAAGAATAGTGGGAAACTAGTAGACTGGGAAATTTTTAAAGGCCAACAGACAGCCACAAAAAAAGTTATAAAGAAAAGTAAGATAGATTATGAGAGTAAACTAGCTCAGAATATAAGAACAGGCAGCAAAAGTTTCTATAAATATGTAAATCGTAAAAGAGTGGCAAAGGTAAACATTGGTCCTTTAGAGGATGAGAAGGCCAATTTAATAACTGGGAATGAGGAAATAGCCGAGACGTTAAACAGTTATTTTGTGTCGGTGTTCACAGTGGAAGACACAAATAACATGCTGAAAACTAATGGCAAGAAGGTTATAGCAGGCGAGGACCTAGAAACTATCATTATCCCTAAGGAGGCAGTGCTGGGCAAGCTAATGGGGCTAAACGTAGACAAGTCTCCTGGCCCTGATGAAATGCATCCCTGGGTACTAAAAGAGGTGATGGGGGAAATAGCGAATGCACTAGTAATTATTTACCAAAATTCACTGGACTCTGGGGTGGTTCCCGCAGATTGGAAAACAGCCAATGTGACGCCACTGTTTAAAAAAGGAAGTAGACAAAAAGCAGGTAACTATAGGCCAGTTAGCTTAACTTCGGTAGTGGGGAAATGCTTGAATCTATCATTAAGGAAGAAATAGCAAGACATCTGGATATAAATTGTCCCATTGGAAACACCCAGCATGGGTTCATGAAGGGTAGGTCATGTTTAACTAATCTGGTGGAATTCTTTGAGGACATTACTTGCACGGTGGACAGTGGGGAACCTATGGATGTGGTGTATCTGGATTTCCAGAAGGCATTTGACAAGGTGCCACACCAAAGGCTGCTACATAAGATAAAGTTGCACGGTATTACAGGTAATGTATTGGCATGGATAGAGGATTGGTTGACCAGTAGAAAGCAAAGAGTAGGGTTAAATGGGTGTTTTTCTGGTTGGCGGTCAGTGGCTAGTGGTGTGCCTCAGGGATCAGTTTTGGGACCGCAATTGTTTACAATTTACATAGATGATTTGGAGTTGGGGACTAAGTGTGGTGTGTCAAAATTTGCAGATGACACGAAGGTGAGTGGTGGAGCAAAGTGTGCAGAAGACACTGAAAGTTTGCAGAGGGATATAGATAGTCTAAGTGAGTGGGCAAAGGTCTGGCAGATGGGGTACAATGTTGATAAGTGTGAGGTCATCCATTTTGGTAGGAATAACAGCAAAATGGACTATGTTTTAAATGGTAAAAATTTGCAGCACGCTGCTGTGCAGAGGGACTTGGGTGTCCTTGTGCATGAATTGCTAAAAGTAGGATTGCAGGTGCAGCAGGTAATTAAAAAGGGAAATGGAATTCTGTCTGCCATTGCTAGAGGGATGGAGTTTAAAAACAGGGAGGCCATGCTGCAGCTGTATAAGGTCCTGGTGAGGCCACACCTGGAGTACAGTGTGCAGTTTTGGTCTCCTTACTTGAGAAGGGATATTCTCGCACTGGAGGGGGTGCCGAGGAGATTCACTCGGTTGATTCCAGAGTTGAGAGGGTTGGATTATGAGGAGAGACTGAGTAGACTGGGATTATACTCATTGGAATTCAGAAGAATGAGGGGAGATCTTATAGAAACATATAACATTATGAAGGGAATAGATAAGGTGGAGGCAGGGAGGTTGTTTCTGCCAGCAGGTGAAACTAGGACTAGAGGGCATCGCCTCAAAATAAAGGGAAGCAGATATAGGACTGAGGTCAGGAGGAACTTCTTCACCCAAAGGGTTGTGAATCTGTGGAATTCCCTGCCCAGTGAAGCGGTTGAAGCTACCTTGCTGAATGTTTTTAAGGCAAGGCTAGATAAATTTTTGAACAGTAAAGGAATTAAGGGTTATGGTGAGTGGGCGGGTAAGTGGAGCTGAGTCTCAAAAAGATCAGCCATGATCTTATTAAATGGCGGGGCAGGCTCGAGGGTCCAGATGGCCTCCTACTGTTCCTAGTTCTTATGTTCTAAGTCCACATTGATACCATTGGGCTTCAGGGTTCCCAAGCTAAATATGAGATGCTGTTCCTGCAGCCTTCAGGTGGCATCGTTGTGGCACTGCAGGAGGCCCAGGATGGACATGTCGTCCAAAGAGTGGGAGGGGGAGTTGAAATGGTTTGCGACTGGGAGGTGCAGTCGTTTGTTGTGAACCAAGCATAGGTGTTCCACAAAGGGTCCCCATTTTAACTCCCCCTCCCACTCCTGGGACCATTTCAACTCCACCTAGACACATCCCCCTGTCCTTTCCCTGTAACCCTGCATTTCCCATGACATATGCACCTAGCCTGCACATCCCTGAACACTATGGACAATTTAGCATGGCCAATCCACCTAACTTGCACATCTTTGGACTGTGGGAAGAAATGAGAGCACCTGGAGGAAACCCACGCAGACGCGGGGAGAACGTGCAAACTCCACACAGACAGTCGGCCTGAGGGTGGAATTGAACCCGTGTCCCTGGTGCTGTGAGGCAGCAGTGCTAAGCACCATGCCGCCCCCTTGATCCTCAGAGAAATAATTTCTCCATATCTCTGTTGGGCATACTCATTTTGTGAACCCCTAGTTCTCGATTCTGTCACACAAGGAAGTGTCCTTACCATATGCACGCTGTCGTGTCCCCATAAGATCTTGCATGTTTCAATCAAGTCATCTCTGATTCTTCCAAGTTCCAACGGATACAGGGTCCAGGCCTATCCAGGCTTTCTTCTTAAGACAACCTGCCCATTCCAGGTATTAGTCTTGTAAATCTTCTCTGAACTGTCTTCACCACATTTACATCCTTTACATATAGAGACCAGTGCTATACACAGACCTCCAGATGTGGTCTCATCAATGCCCTGTATAACTGAAGAAGAATCTCTCTCTTTTATTGTGAGGCTTATTGAAAACTTGTGAGAACATCTGTTGGCTTTCCTAATCATTTGCTGGACCTGCATTTTAACCTTTACAATTTCATACATTTGGATACTCCGATCCATCTGAGCTATCAGAGCTTGACAATCTTTCAACATTAAGAGAATATGCTTCTTTTTATTGTCCATTTTGGCAGGAGACATTCACGTTTTGCCACATTACGCTCCATTTGCAAGATCTTTGCCTACATGTTTAGCCTATCCATATCCCTTTGTTGTCTCCTTGTTTCTGTTTCACAAGGGAGCAGGAATGGGCCACTTGCCCCCTTGAACCTGTTTAACTGTTCAATAAGGTCATGGTTTATCTGACTGTGGCCTTAAACCAGTTTGTCTCCATGTCGGCCGTTATAAAAACCCAAACAGGAAAATCTCAATGCAGATGTACATTGTTATATCTTGCTGTGGGATTTGAACCTACCAACCTCTGTGGTTGCTACTTGAATAGCATAACCATTCAACTGAAGTATCCTTCACTTACAACTTTCTGTCTAGATTGTGGATTTAAGCTCTTTCGAATTGCTGTTGCTGTGGCAATGTGTTGATTTCCTGTGGTCCGAATGCATTGTAGTATTCAAACTATAGTATGGTGAATTGTCTCTAATATCTCTGCATACCTTCCTGAAGTTTGTGCTCCAGTGTTAATACTTTATCTCTAAGTACGTAAGAAGGAAGTATTTCTGATCATTTGGCATTTCTCCAACATCTCTATCCCACAGGACAGAGTCTTAGCCAAGGAATTCTATATTGAAGAGCTCCTGGAAACCCATTTCAGTAACTGGAGCTTCAGCCATTCTTGCCTCCTTTTGCTGAGGTGGGCAATGCATTTAACTGGGTGGGAGGATAAGCACCTCTCTGCCTTACTGATGACTTTATGTCTAGGGCCGGATTTAGTTTCCTAGCCTGCTACTAACTAAGGCCAGAGGTGGGCACCTGATGCCCACTTGAGGAACTGATCCTTCTATCAACAGCAGCTGGGGCGCAGACAAATCAAACCCTATCAGGTGGTGTTTGCGGGCTCTTTGGGGTATTTTTGGGGGGGGATTCATCTTTCAACGCCGCCCAGTGCGTCATTGAGGGACCCAACATCAGGAAGAGAGATCCCAATGAGAAGTCACCCCTCCCTTGCTGACAATACCTGCTCCCCCCGCACCCCCCATCCCAACATTTACCTATGGCCCGGGACTTGCTGTGACCTTAGGCCTTGGGTTGGTACATGGCAGTAAGTAGGCACTGTTCCCACTTCTGCATGGTACCTCTTGGGCAGGATATTGCCTCATGAGGGTCTTTGATTGTTGGAAGACCAGCTGCTGCCCAGTGAAGTGGTACTTAATTCCACCAGAGTCCTCAATGGAGGGTGACACAGGGTTCTTAGCTGTCCTGCTGATGGGCAAGGCACCTCCTAACCAGCCCCTCCCAGTTTTTGTTGTGGCCATTACATCTACTGCAAGAGAGTTCAATTACACCTGCTAATTCAGCGCTCCTTGTGCATTGCCTGATCTATCAATGAATTGACTTGTCTGTTTTCTGTTTATTTGAATGGAATGTCAATGGTGAAGGAATGAAACCAGCCTGCAATTCTTCAAGCTGCTGGACCACCCTCCCCCAACCCCATCTTTAAAACCTGTAATATTGGGTGGGATGCTCTTCGGAGTGTTGGTGTGGACTCGATGGGCCAAATGGCCTGGTTCCACACTGTAGGGATTCTGTAATTTCCTTACGGCTTTGTATTGAAATCTGTTATTGGAGTGTTTGTGGCCTATAAAGCATGTAAGACAACACTTTTTTCTCTGTACCTTGGTACACGTGACAGTAATAAACCAAACTGTGGAGTGAACCCTGGTTTTTGATGTTAGAATGGAAGGTGTTCATTGTATTGTTTTCTTTTTTTTTCAGTTGTACAGCATCAAGAGAAGATGATGCCACAGAGGCAGAAAAGGATAAAAATGCTGAAAACGAACAAACCTTGAACTGTCAAATGGAATCTGTCTGACTTTTGATTTTGTAAATTGCTGGCCCTTCAGAATTATTGCTTGGGAGAAACGTCAATAAAATGGAAGGATTTTAATCACTGAGCTCAGTCGCTCTGACACTGTTTGAGCTTTCAACCAGAGTTGTACAACTAAATCATTTGTGACATTTCTCAAATTTGTTCGGTTCTGCCTTTATAGCTGATGAAGTGAAGTTTGCAGTTATCTGGAACTCATTTAGGAAGCCAGGGCTAACACTTCATGCACCAAAAAATTTCCTTGATAATTTGGCTTAATTATAAGACTGTATCAAGGTTTAGCAATTTTAAATTCTCTTCTACTTTTTTCAAACTCCTCCACAGTTCTCCTTGCCTCATCTTTAACCTCCACAGACCCTCCAACCCATCTCGACCTGGTCAGTTGTCTATCACTATCACCACTCAATCATTACCATCTTTAACTTCAGCTCCCTTGATCTGGGACTGCGTTCTCAAGTCACACTACCTCTATCACCTCTTTTACCAATCCTATTGGTGACTTGTTCTGGTCTCTCTCTAATGGCTTAATGTCAGATTTTGCTTGATAATGCATCTGTGACGCTGCCTGAGATGTTCTGTTATGTTAATTGCTCTATATAGATGTAAATTATGGTTGTTCTGGTCAGTATTACATAAACTGTTTTCCTCACCATATCCTTTAATTCCTTTTCTATCCTGAAATGCTTGAACCTGCTTTTGTGGTTCCCTTCAGTGGCACTCTGAAAGGTTAAAATTGACTGCAGGTCCAGATCAAAGTCTGTTGTTAACATTGCATTGCCAAATCACAATATCAGAACATCATTGAAGTCTCAGTAGCAAATCTACCGAATGTGGTAAATTCTGGGTAATGTATGCAAGTAGGGAAAATTGATCAGGATTTGCCTGTTATTGCTGCAAGTTAAATGGGCTGTAACAGTTCTAGTCTAGTTTCATATGTGCCAACTCCATTAGGTAAACCATCGCAATTTGTGATGAGTCTGAAATGATGCAGTGCTAGGAAGTTTTATTATTAACATTAAAGCTGGAGATTCAGTATTTGATACTTTCACACATCCCAACCTAAATGCTGCTGTGTTACACCATTAAAAAGGCTTTAACCTATTACAGCAAAACATAACCTCCAAGCACGCACCATATGTTGAAGTTATGAAGGTGCTTACTATACCGATTGTCAAACTAGAGGTGGCGGTGCTCTGGAGTATTTCAGACTGGAGGCAGTGACCAGCGGTGTGCCCCAATGATTGGTACTGGGTCCACTGCTTTTTATAATTTATATGAACGATTTGGATGTGAATATAGGAGGAATGGTTAGTAAGTTTACAAATGACACCAAACTTGGTGGTGTAGTGGACAGTGAATAAAGTTAACTTGGACTACACCGGGACCTTGATCAGATGGGCCGATGGTACAAGGAGTGACAGATGGAGTTTAACTTGGAGAAGTGTGAGGTGTTACATTTTGGAAAGGCAAATCGGGGTAAGACTTATACACTTAATGGTACGATCCTGGGGAGTTTTGCCAAACAAAGAGACCTTGGAGTGCAGGTTCATAGTTCCTTGAAGGTGGAGTTGCATATAGATAGGATCGTGAAGAAAGCGTTTGATATGCTTGCCTTTATTGGTCAGTGCATTGAGTATAGGAGTTGGCATATACAGGACATTGGTTGGGCCACTTTTGGAATACTGCGTTCAATTCTGGTTTCCCTGGTATAGGGAAGATGTTATTAAACTTGAAAGGGTTCAGAATAGATTTACAAGGATGTTGCCAGGGTTGGAGGGCTTGAGCTATAGGGAAAGGCTGAATAGGCTGGGGCTGTTTTCCCTGGAGCATCAGAGGCTGAGGTATGACCTTACGGAGGTTTATAAAATCATGAGGGGCATAGATAGGGTGAATAGCCAAGACTTTCTTCCCCCAGAGATTGTAGGAACTGCCAGACCCGAAATGTCAGCTTTCCTGCTCCTCTGATGCTGCCTGACCTGCTGTGTTCATTGAGCTCTACACCTTGTTATCTTTTTTTCCCCCAGAGTAGGGGAGTCCAAAACTAGAGGGCATAGGTTTAAGGTGAAGGTGAAAATATTTAAAAGGGACCTAAGGGGGGCAACTTTTTGACGCAGAAGGTGGTGTGTGTATGGAATGAGCTGCCAGAGGAAGTGGTGGAGGCTGGTACAATTAAATTGAAAAGGCATCTGGATGGGTATATGAATAGAAAGGATTTAGAGGGATATGGGCCAAATGCTGGCAAATGGTACTAGATTGATTTAGGATATCTAGTCAGCATAGACAAGTTGGACCGAAGGGTCTGCCTCTGTGCTGTACAGCTCTATGACTCCATAAAAAGAAGCTGTTGCACCATACTTTATATGCATGTAGCTATCTGAATAAATGCTTGCATGCTCGCAAATTATGAGTTTAGCTCCTTCATGTTCCACATTTCGAAACAACACCACGTGTTTGTCAGAGTTCAAAACAAGTGTATGCCTTTTCCCTCTATGAGTGAATGTTTTACAAGTTTTTGATGTGCTGATTCACATTAGTCACGTTTTCTTCCTCCCTAGCTACCTTTTGTTGGGCTGCGATGTGTGCCCTGGTTTTTGGGCACAGGAGTCATGATTTGCAACCTGCTCATACAGGTTCAAAATGTGCACCATGTGCATGTGATGTTCTCTAGGGCTGAATGGATCCCATGCTGTTTCCCCTATCTTAGTGCTGCCTGCAGTCAGTAGGAGACTGGCCAACTTTGTGCAGTTAGACTGCCCCTCTTAAAGGCAGGCTGCCCCTCTTAAAAAAACAGCTGCACTTTTCAACGGCAGCTCCCTCGCTGCCCGCCCACAACTCCAGTCATTGAGCTGTGGCTGGAACATATTCTACATGTTACTGCTTAAAATTAATGGTGTTCTGTCCCCTCTCTTTTGGGACAAAGCACCACTCAATGTAAGGGGCAAAGCTAGTTGGCGACACAGCTGTCTGCATCTCCTGAACCCTGTGTCTTATAGCAGTGAGAGACCTTGTACCTCCCATCAGATTAGATAAAATGGTTTGAGCGAGACAACCATTTAAAACACCTAGCCAGTGAGGACTAGCCGTATTCTGGGCAGAATCAGTATGATGTTGCAGGAAAGGGGATGGTTAATTGCTTTGAGTATTTTTCCTGGATCATTTCAAACCTAGGTAAAATATTAATTGTAAGGTTTTATTAGCAGTATTATTAAATCGTACTCTTTATTAATAAATTATTATTACTTATCTTCTTAATGCATAATGAAGATGACGAGGCAGGTGATGTGTTGTGGCTGCAGTATTCTGGGAGCTGAGCAATGCCCGTGTGATCAAAGACATCCACAGCTGCAGTAAGTGTCAGTGGTTCGAAGAGCTTTGGCTCAGTCAGTGAGCTGCAGACTGAGCTACTGACACTGTAATGCCTCAGGGAGAGGGAAGACACTGGAATATTTAGCACAAAAGGTCAGTCACATCCATTGCGATTGTGATCTAATTGGGTTAGGGGCAGGAAGGTATGACCGCAAATGCAATTGGTGTGGGGACTGAGACTGTTGAAGTGGAGGAATCTCCATTCATGGAATTAGGATTTCGATTCTTGCACCTATGATGATGAAAGTGGACAACCAGAGTGGATGAGTGAACTGACATAAAAACACAAGAACTAGGAGCAGGAGTATGCAATTCAGTCCCTCTAGTCTGCTCTACCATTTACTGTGATCACATCATGGCTGACCTCATCTTCATT